ACGGAGAACCAGCACCACGACACTCCAGCATCACGAAGAACCACCACCACTACACTCCAGCATCACGGTGAACCACCACCACCACCACACTCCAGCATCACGGAGAACCAGCACCACCACACTCCAGCATCACGGAGAACCAGCACCACCACACTCCAGCATCACAGAGAACCACCACCACCACACTCCAGCATCACGGAGAACCAGCACCACAGCACTCCAGCATCACGGAGAACCACCACCACCAAACTCCAGCATCACGGTGAACCAGCACAACCACACTCCAGCATCACGGTGAACCACCACCACCACACTCCAGCATCACGGTGAACCAGCACCACCACACTCCAGCATCACAGAGAACCACCACCACCACACTCCAGCATCACAGAGAACCACCACCACCACACTCCAGCATCACGGTGAACCACCACCACGACACTCCAGCATCACGGAGAACCAGCACCACCACACTCCAGCATCACGGAGAACCGGCACCACCACACTCAAGCATCACGGAAAACCACCACCACGACACTCCAGCATCACGGTGAACCAGCACCACCACACTCCAGCATCACGGAGAACCGGCACCACCACACTCTAGCATCACGGAGAACCAGCACCACCACACTCCAGCATCACAGAGAACCAGCACCACCACACTCTAGCATCACGGAGAACCAGCACCACCACACTCCAGCATCACAGAGAACCACCACCACCACACTCCAGCATCACGGAGAACCAGCACCACGACACTCCAGCATCACGAAGAACCACCACCACTACACTCCAGCATCACGGTGAACCACCACCACCACACTCCAGCATCACAGAGAACCAGCACCACCACACTCTAGCATCACGGAGAACCACCACCACCACACTCCAGCATCACGGTGAACCAGCACCACCACACTCCAGCATCACGGTGAACCAGCACCACCACACTCCAGCATCACGGTGAACCAGCACCACCACACTCCAGCATCACAGAGAACCAGCACCACCACACTCCAGCATCACGGAGAACCACCACCATGCACCACTCTCCAGCATCACGGAGAACCACCACCACCACACTCTAGCATCACGGAGAACCAGCACCACCACACTCCAGCATCACGGAGAACCAGCACCACCACACTCCAGCATCACGGAGAACCAGCACCACCACACTCCAGCATCACGGAGAACCATCACCACCACACTCCAGCATCACGGAGAACCGGCAACACCACACTCTAGCATCACGGAGAACCAGCACCACCACACTAAAGCATCACAGAGAACCACCACCACCACACTCCAGCATCACAGAGAACCACCACCACCACACTCCAGCATCACGGAGAACCAGCACCACGACACTCCAGCATCACGAAGAACCACCACCACTACACTCCAGCATCACGGTGAACCACCACCACCACCACACTCCAGCATCACGGAGAACCAGCACCACCACACTCCAGCATCACGGAGAACCAGCACCACCACACTCCAGCATCACGGTGAACCAGCACAACCACATTCCAGCATCACGGTGAACCAGCACAACCACATTCCAGCATCACGGTGAACCAGCACAACCACATTCCAGCATCACAGAGAACCACCACCACCACACTCCAGCATCACGGAGAACCAGCACCACAACACTCCAGCATCACGGAGAACCACCACCACCAAACTCCAGCATCACGGTGAACCAGCACAACCACATTCCAGCATCACGGTGAACCACCACCACCACACTCCAGCATCACGGTGAACCAGCACCACCACACTCCAGCATCACAGAGAACCACCACCACCACACTCCAGCATCACAGAGAACCACCACCACCACACTCCAGCATCACGGTGAACCACCACCACCACACTCCAGCATCACGGAGAACCAGCATCACCACACTCCAGCATCACAGAGAACCACCACCACCACACTCCAGCATCACGGAGAACCACCACCACTACACTCCAGCATCACGGAGAACCACCACCACCACACTCCAGCATCACGGAGAACCAGCATCACCACACTCCAGCATCACAGAGAACCACCACCACCACACTCCAGCATCACGGAGAACCACCACCACCACACTCCAGCATCACGGAGAACCAGCATCACCACACTCCAGCATCACAGAGAACCACCACCACCACACTCCAGCATCACGGAGAACCACCACCACCACACTCTAGCATCACGGTGAACCAGCACCACCACAGTCCAGCATCACGGTGAACCACCACCACTACACTCCAGCATCACGGTGAACCAGCATCACCACACTCCAGCATCACAGAGAACCACCACCACCACACTCCAGCATCACGGAGAACCAGCACCACCACACTCCAGCATCACGGAGAACCACCACCACCACACTCTAGCATGACGGTGAACCAGCACCACCACACTCCAGCATCACGGTGAACCACCACCACTACACTCCAGTATCACGGAGAACCAGCACCATCACACTCCAGCATCACAGAGAACCAGCACCACCACACTCCAGCATCACGGTGAACCACCACCACTACACTCCAGCATCACGGAGAACCAGCACCACCACTCTTCAGCATCACGGTGAACCACCACCACCACACTCCAGCATCACAGAGAACCAGCACGACCACTCTTCAGCATCACAGAGAACCAGCACCATCACACTCCAGCATCACAGAGAACCAGCACCACCACACTCCAGCATCACGGTGAACCAGCACCACCACACTCCAGCATCACGGAGAACCAGCACCACCACACTCCAGCATCACGGTGAACCACCACCACTATTTATTTATTTATTTTATTTATTTTATTTATATATATACAAGAAGGTACATTGGGTTTGTGAGAATACATTGGATAGTACAGTATTTACACTCTTGTAAAGCCACTAGTACGCGCAGCGTTTCGGGCAGGTCCTTAATCTAACAGATAATTTTAAGTAGGTAATTTCTATCAGAATTGATAAATGATAAAGATACATTACAAGAGAAAAATGAGATGAGAGAGCTTAGTAAGCATATTAAAGCACATTGGTATATTAAAGCTCTGATTGATTACATTGACAGCTTGATTAGTAATTTAAACAAGATTAATAGACACCATACAGCAGATTGACAGCACATATAAGACAGCAATGAGCACAATGGTAAAGATGTTCAGATTGGGTACATAAAGATTGGGAGACTGGGTAGCAATAGATACAGATAAACAAGATTAATAAACACCATACAACAGATTGGCAGCACATATAAGAAGACAGCAATGATAACAATGGTAAAGATGTTCAAATTGGGAACATATAGGTTGGGAGATTAGGTAGCAATAGATACAGTGCAATTTTAAGGCAAAAATTGAAAAACTATGAAGATGAAATTAGGTACTTTTTAGTAATGATTTTGAATGATGTAAAAGTTGGACAGCTTTTCAATTCAATTGGGAGTGAGTTCCATAAACTGGGTCCCTTTATTTGCAATAGAGTGTTTACACAGATTAAGTTTAACTCTGGGGATATCAAAGAGGTATTTATTTCTGGTGTGGTGATAATGGGTCCTATTACATCTGTCCAGGAAGAGTTTCAGAGCAGGATTTGCATTTTAAGAACAGAGTTTTGTAAATGTAGTTGACACAAGAGAATTTATGGAATGAGATTATGTTTAGCATGTTTAAGGAGTTAAACAAGGGGGCTGAGTGTTGTCTGAAAGCAGAATTTGATATTATTCTGATAGCAGATTTTTGCTGGGTGATGATGGACTTGAGGTGGTTTGCAGTGGTTGAACCCCATGCACAGATACCATAGTTGAGATAGGGATAGATTAGTGCATAATGTAGAGAGATGAGAGCAGAGTTAGGTACATAATATCTGATTTTGGAGAGTATACCAACCGTTTTAGAGACTTTCTTAGTTATGTGTTGTATGTGGGTACTGAAGTTGAGTCTCTTGTCTAGGAATAGGCCAAAAAACTTTCCATCATTTTTATTGCTAATGTTTACATTGTCTATCTGAAGCTGAATTGCATTTGTAGATTTGCTTCCAAATAGGATGTAGTAGGTCTTTTCTATGTTAAGTGTTAGTTTGTTGGTTGACATCCATAAGTGGACTTTTTTTAGTTCATTATTAACAACATCATTTAATGTATGTGGGTTGGGGTTGGAGTAGATGAGGGTAGTATCATCAGCAAACAAAATAGGTTTCAGAATGTTAGAGACATTAGGCAGATCATTGATGTATATAAGAAATAGAAGAGGTCCCAAGATGCTGCTCTGTGGCACTCCAACGGTGAACTATCACCACTGCACTCTAGCATCACGGTGAACTATCACCACTACACTCCAGCATCACGGAGAACCAGCACCATCACACTCCAGCATCACAGAGAACCAGCACCATCACTCTCCAGAGTCACAGAGAACCAGCACTACCACACTCCAGCATAAAAAAAACAGCATCATCACACTCCAGCATGACAGAGAACCACCACCACCACACTCAAGCATCACGGAGAACCAGCAACACCACACTCCAGCATCACAGAGAACCAGCACCACCACACTCCAGCATCACGGAGAACCACCACCACCACACTCCAGCATCACGGAGAACCAGCATCACTATATTACAACGACACGGAGGATCAGTGCCCTGTCCGGGAAGTTCCAGTAAGTGCGTCATCGACCTACGGCCTTGACCTCCTCTCTCTCCAACTCGGAAAGTTATGTTGATTTATCCAAGTATTTTCCCTCTTTGCTGCTACAGTCAATGATTTTTATTAACTTTTATAATATGTCAGCATTCAGTATCGCTGAGCTGTACTTGTAAGATGTACACCAATTGTCGCCAAACCGTAAGTACATGTAAACTTTACTTATATTAGTGAGTTTTGCTAAGAGTCGGAGTTAACCATAAGTGGCAACTGCAGGTGAGAGGACCCGGGGTGTGACCGGCACATATAAGCGCTCAGTAAGACGGTCTGGCATCAGTCTTCACACTGAGGAAGAACAGTTAAGTTCACTGTACAGCACCGCATTATGTCCGCTCTACGCTCTCTTGTGAGTACAACTGTATTTATTCCTGTTTTATGAGATAATAACAATGGCAACGGATGTTTTGGTAATAGGCTTAAATCGTCCATGTTGAACATATCAGTAAAACTTTATATAGTGTTGTTCATATGTAAATTACAATGTGCTATGTCGGGGCCCACAATACCCAAGGTCTTCCTGGGTTATGCTAACAAAGTATTGTTCTCCATCTTGAAAGCTGATGTCTCAAGAAATGCAAGAGGAACTTCTGAAATGTCTTCAACAACAGCGCTGCCGATAATATTTTTAGCCAGACGACAGCCACAACTCGTGTCACTAACCCCTTCCTCTTCCTTAGCTGGTGATGGTGGTGGTACTCCTGGCTCTGGTGTACGTGGCAGTGGCACTACCCTACCTTACTAACGGACATGGTGGCAGATTAGGACACGACGGAGGATACGGGATTGGACACGGTCCTCTCGGTAATCTGTAAGTATTATTATGTCTCCAAAACTGTTATGTCTTGTTTAGTAAATTACTGTTTGACTTAAATTGTGCTATAATTTAAATGTTACTGTTGAACTAACTTTAAGAGTAATTCATCTTGGCCATCTTTACAGGGTCAATGGGCCAGTTTACCGACCATCAGATAATACCATCACCCATCACTATGGATCGACATAGTGACATGATTAAAGACATAGTGACATGGTTAAAAACATGATGCTGTCTTTAACCTGACAGTGGATTTTGGTGTATATTGGGTGCCGGAGGGCGAATGATTGACCACCTTCAACTCTTCTCATGTCCAACTCATTCCTACTATTCCTCAAGATGAGGAATTGAGACTGTGATTATAAATATATTTTTGTAATAAAGATTTTGTTGTTAACTTGCATTTTTACTGATCAGTTGGCGGCGGCAATTGTCCGTAGAATATTGATGTTGGAAAACTTGGATTAATATCGAAAGCCTCTCTAAGTATGAGGAAGAAATTACAATGTTTTCAATAAAATTATTGGAAATGAAGTATGTAAATGAATGGGTTTGAGCTCATGGCTTACCTTCAGGTTCTCAAAACAATTCTAAAGGCTGGAACATAGGTAAAAAAATTAATGTGGAAATACAGCTGTGTTTTAAAGAAAATCAAACAGAAAACATATTTTAAACAATTCTATAAACTCTACTTTCTTTAGCAGCACAAACAAAAGAAGTTCCTACAAAATATAAACAAGCAAACTTCACTTGTTGAAGTTTGGGAAAAGATTAAACAAATCTCTAGAAGCAACCCAACCAAACCACTGCACTACTGTCGGAAATCCAACGCATAACATATTAATATACTAACATAGTAATATACTAATTGTTTCTATTTTTTGTGTACTTACATTTATTGTTGTGTTTTGCTATAATTACTTTCTATTTACAGCAGATTTAGTATTTAACTGTTCCTGTAATTGCTTGTAATTGCTTATTGTATCGTGACCCCATTGCATCTACATTTGAACATCTTTTTATGTCTTGGGAACATTTGTTCCCAATTTGAACATCTTTTTATGTCTTGGGAACATTTGTTCCCAATTTGAACATCTTTACCATTGTGATCATTGCTGTCTTCTTATATGTGCTGCCATTATGCTGTATGGTGTTTATAAATCTTGTTTATCTGTATCTATTGCTACCCAGTCTCCCAGCCTTTATGTACCCAATCTGAACATCTTTACCATTGTGATCATTGCTGTCTTATATGTGCTGTCAATCTGCTATATGGTGTCTATTAATCTTGTTTAAATTACTAATCAAGCTGTCAATGTAATCAATCAGAGCTTTAATATAACAATGTGCTTTAATATACTTACTAAGCTCTCTCATCTCATTTTTCTCTTGCAATGTATCTTTATCATTTATCAATTCTGATAGAAATTACCTACTTAAAATTATCTGCTAGATTAAGGATCTGCCCGAAACGCTGCGCGTACTAGTGGCTTTACAAGAGTGTAAATACTGTACTATCCAATGTATTCTCACAAACCCAGTGTACATTCTCGTTTATATATAAATAAATAAATAAATTAATTAATAAATACATGCATACTGATATTGAACCTGATCGAAATCTTCTGTCTCATATCCACACTAATCAGCACATTGACCATCATTATTGCAGGTATTACACAGCAAATCTTTGCAAAAAACAAACTCCTAAATAGCACCTGCTTATCAGTTTACAACCAAAATGTTAGATCACTTGGTAAACAATTTGATGATATAAATGCACTACTCACAGCACTAGGTAATAAATTATCTTTCATTATATTAACAGTAATCTGGCTAAGTAAAGGCTATATCCAACTCTACAACTTAGCTGGTTATAAAGCCCTTCACAACTGCATGCCAAATAAAAAAGGAGGTGGCACAGCAATATATTAAAAAGATACCTTCATCTGCAATAGTGTTATTAGTGATAGAGACGACTACTGTGAATATACATACCTTTGCCAAGTTCTCGAGTAAATCCCTTAACTCCTCCTTGACTATCGGTGACATCTATAGATTTCCCAATGCCAACATAGCTTCATTCTTCGATAACGTAAGGAATCTTATCATAAATAACAATCTCAACAAAAATCACATAATTCTAGGAGGTGATTTCAATATTGACCTGTGTCTACAAAATAACCCTCTAGTTGACTATTTCCATAACAGCATGAACTCCTGTATGCTAATCCCCACAATCACCAAGCCCACCTGAGTCACTCAAACATCTGCCACTACCTTGGATCACCTATGAACTAATATAACAGCTCCCCTTACTTCTGGTATAATCTGTGACAGAACAACTGACCACTATCCTACCTTCCTCATGGCAAACGTAGACATAACACCACCAGAAAGCAAGAAACTCTCAATCAGGCTACACAGTGAATCAGCTTTAGGCAATCACTCAAATGCGCTTCACAATATTATTGTGAAGTTGGGAATCAGTTGGGAATCTGATTTCAATAATACACAGGATATAAACTCATTAACTAACCTCTTTCTCTCCAAAACTCTAAGCCTCTATAACACTCACTGTCCCCTCCTTACCAAACAAGTAACTGATAAAAGAAAAAATAACCCGTGGCTCACAAGTGGCATAATTAAATCAATCAACAAAAAACATGAATACGAAAAGAAATTTAGGAGTGGCCTAGTTTCAATGGAAGTAGTTAAAAGGTACTCATCAGTGCTTACCAGTATCATAAGAAAAGCAAAACTTTCATATTATGAGACTAGATTCAAAGAAGCAAAAGGCAACATGAAAAGCACATGGAATACCATCTCTAACATCCTGGGAACTAAACAACACTCCCACAACCAGATAACACTCTCTAAGGATGGCTATACACTGTCAATTGATTTAGAAATTGCAAATGAATTTAATAGCTTTTTTTCATCAGTTGGTGCTAGCCTCGCCAGTAAAATCCCACAGACCCAGACACATATCAACACATATCTCTCAGGCAGCTATCCAAACTCTCTTCTCCTTTCACCAGTCAGCCCGTCAGATGTTGTGTCCATCATACACTCACTAAAAACCAAAGCTGGGAACATCAGTGAAATCCCATCCATTGTATACAAGAGCGCCTCCCATGCCCTTGCGCCACCTATAGCTCTGCTGTTCAACAAATCCCTTGAGTGTCATACCTTCCCTGATATCCTTAAAAAAGCAAGAGTAACACCAGTTCATAAAGGAGGTAATCCGTCAGACATAAACAACCTTGTTTTTCCTGCAATCAGCTTTTTTTATGCAGCCAAGTATAGACCCAGAACTTAACCTCTTATCCACTATCTATGACAATAATCACTTTAATGATTTAAATTGCAGATATTTTGCAGCACATGATGTAAACAATGTATTAACTCATAATCACAATATCTCTGTAATTAACTTGAATGTAAGATCTCTAAGTAAACACTGAGTATATCTTTGCCTGTTTCAGAGTCAAGGGTGCCGAGTCTGTCCTGACTGTGGGAGCAGTCTATAGAATTCCTAACACTGATGTGTCCGAATTCAACTCAAACCTTAGAAATCTAATACTAGATAACAGACTGAACAAAAACCACCTAATTATCGCAGGGGACTTTAATATTGACCTCTGCGAGCCTGATAACCCTACTGCTGTTAGCTTCCTCAACTGTATGAATTCCTGCTTCCTCATACCCTTAATCACTAGACCTACTAGAATCACTGATAGTACTGCCACGGCTCTTGATCACATCTGGACTAACATAACCTCTCCTTACTTCAGAGATAATCATTGATAGAACCACAGACCATTACCCCACATTTCTACTAACTAACATTAACGAACCACCTCTTGATACAAGAAATACTTTAGGCTGCACAATGAAACTTCTATAGGCAATTTTATAGCTGCTGCTGCTAATATCAACTGGGAGTCCGAATTAAGTAACATAGGAGATATGAACCTAGCTGTGCAATCATTTCTTCAAGAAACTCTCAGCCTTTATAATGCCCACTATCCTGTGCTAACGAAACAAGTCACAACTAAAAGGCTAAACAATCCATGGCTTACAATGGGGATACTTAAATCTATTAGTAAAAAACATGACCTTGAGAAGAAGTATAGGTTAGGAATCGTCTCCAAAGAATTTTCAAAGAATTACTCATCATTGCTATCTAAAATAATTAGACGAGTCAAAATTAAATACTACGAAGATAAATTTACCCAAATAAAGAGCAACATTAAGAAAACATGGAGCACAATTTCACAAATATTGGGATCAAAGAAGATTTTAAATAACAAACCAATACTCCTGTCCAATAATGATGGTTTGCTTTCAGTTTCTGATACTGCTATTGAGTTCAATAGGTTCTTCTCTTCCATTGGGTCATCCCTTGCTAATGATATTCCATCTTCCAGTACTACATTCAGGACTATCTTACAGGTCCTGAACTATCCAGTCAGTCTCTGTACCTAACAGTCTCTGCCTATGCTTGCTAATTCCACTGATGTTAATGAGATAATTCTTTCCCTTAAAACCAAGTCTAGTGCCCTTGAGGAGATACCAACTCTAATTTACAAAAAAAACTCCAGATTTTTAAATCCTGCCATTGCATTGCTCTTCAACAAGTCACTTGAACTCCAAACCTTTCCAGATATTCTAAAAAAAAAAGCGAGAGTAACCCCAGTCCACAAATGTGGTGATCTCACTGATGTTAACAACTTCAGACCTATATCAATTCTGCCAAACTTGTCAAAAATATTTGAAAAACTAATCTACAAGCAGCTTTACTCATATCTAGCCAAACTCAATATACTTAGCTCTTGCCAATATGGCTTCAGACCAAAAAAAGCACTAACGATGCACTTATTAGTATGATTAACTTGATACATGCAGCTCTTGATAAAAATGAGTTCCCTGTTGGGTTATTTGTGGACCTGCGTAAGGCTTTTGACACTGTCAACCACCAAAACCTTCTTCTTAAATTACATCATTATGGAGTCAGAGGACACTCCCTCCAATACCTCAAGTCTTACCTTACTGACAGGCTCCAGTATGTTTCTGTGAATAATTCAATTTCTCCCACCCTACCCATCAACATTGGTGTTCTTCAGGGCAGCATACTTGGCCCTCTCCTCTTTCTCATCTACATTAATGACCTTCCAAATGCCTCCCAACACCTCAAACCAATTCTATTTGCTGACGACACAACCTTCATTTACTCCAGTCCTGAACCCCTTGCTCTAAATGTCACAGTGAATACTGAGCTTAATAAAGTCTATCTCTGGCTAACTGCCAACAAACTCACCCTCAACATTGACAAAACGTTCTATATTTCGTTTGGTAATAAATCCTCAAATCAAATAAATCTCAGGATTAATA